GCCCAGATGAAGTCTGTGAGGCAAATGGAGCCAGTGGGTTCTTCTTGGGTTGGGGATTCCACAAGTTGGCTTCCACACTATGGGCCGGGAAGAACACCAAGCAGGATCCTTGGGCTGGCACAGCCCAGGCTAAACCCAAATATGCTCGGTCACCAAACCTCTTCCTTAAGGCTCCAGATACTGACACTCTCCTGGGTTCAGTTTACCCATGTAGCAGAAACTGTATCTCAAAATCAACAGAACCCCAAAGGGAAACTGAAAGAATTCCCTATAAGGACAGGTCTAGGCTATGCTAGATTTCTAAATCCAAAAATCTTTTTTTTTTAATAGCCCTATAACACATCCCCAGAGGACCACGCCCGATAGTGAGAGTTCCTCCTTCCTGGCCCTCTAAATTGTGAAATCCAAGCCTACAGAAGCCTGCCTGAGTTCTCTGCAGGAGTGATCCTGCCCTCTTGGGCTCTGGAAGCTTCCATGATACTTCCCATGGTGTTTGGAACAGAATTGTACTCTTAAACCCCAAAGCTTTTGGGTGATGGGCCTGAGAAGCTGTCCCCCTCAAACCGCCAACAACACCCTCTGCCTCATTTAAGCAAGGGAAACAAAAGGCACCCGACTTGGGGGTTTATGTCAGCAACCGCCAATTCACACCAGGTAAATGCAGGGAACTGGCTTGTCTACTGCAGCAAGACATGCTACTGGAGCTGACTAGGGCTGGTATTTATCTGTTGTTCAGTCACATCGGACTGTATTTATTTTTGAGCCACTGCTCCAATTAAGCTGACATCCCCTTTATCAAGGGACTCATTTCTTGCAAATTGAATTGAACTTTGCAAAAATCTCTGTGTAGCAAGCACCTCAGGGTTTGATTGGGGATGCACAGCAACTGAAGAAATTAATCACCGATCAGTTTACCACATTATGATGGCTTCCATTAAAGCAGCAGCAAGGTGGAGAAGTCATTCTCAATGATTCCCTAGGGTCATATCAGTAATATCTTGGAACGTGGAATGTGTGTGGGCAATCCAATCTGCTGGGCTGTCAGTGACTTATTCCCTTTCAGTTCCAAGCCCCTCCCCCAATCAAAATACCCAGGGAGATGTAAGGTGGACTGGGGGAAAGCAGTCCCTGAGAGGTTGAACAGCTTCATGGATCAACAGTGTCCTCCTACCCTTATAGGACTTCATGGATTTTTACAAAATGCTTTCCCAAACACTCACTTGTTAAATCTCGGCAATAACTCTTTTGTGGGAGATAGCAGAAATGTTATGATTATGGTTGATTATGGTTATTGGTAGCTAGGTAAGGTAGAAGGAGTCCTAAATTTGGAATCAAAGCACGTGGGTTCAAATCCCAATTCTGACACTTACTATCCATGTGACTTTGTATAAGTCGCTTAACTTCTCTAGGCCTCAGTTTCCTCATCTATAAAAAATGAGACTAAATCATAGTGGCTCTATCACTCTGAAGTTTTTTAAAGTGCTTTATGCATAATATCTCATTTCATCCTCACTTTGACTTGTGAGGGAAGTTTGATTATTATCCCCATTTTATAGATGAGGAACTGGAGCTTTGGAAAGGGTAAGTGATTTGCCTAGGGTCCCATAGCTCTTAAGTTCCCAGTGATTGCAACCTTCTTTTGACCTACTAAATCAGATTTTAAACTTTTTTGTGTATGTCATGAATCCCTCTGGTTGTGATGACCCCTTTGGCTGTGATAGTGACCCCATCTCAGAATAATGGTTTTAAATGCATAAAATCAGATATATGGGATTGCAAAGGAAATCAAAGGTTAGTAAACCTGCTGAAATCTGCCCATGGACAATTTAGGTATTATGGATCCCAGGTCAAGAACTCCTGTCCTAAAGCATTTGTGGTCCCTACCATTCACTTTCTTCCATAAAGCTCACCATTTGATGCCTCATGGTGGCCTTGGGTTCTTACAGTTTGTGCCAGAGGCAAGACAGGTCTTCCTGAGTCCAAGACCAGTACTCTATCCACTCCCCCACCCCAAACTCCCTCCTAGCTCTAAATCTCTGACTCTATAATCTCCATTTTAACAGAAGAGTGGTGCCAGGCTCACAGACATGGCATGACCTAAGGTCATACAGCAGAGGCCACATATCTAGAAGAGTCAGAAGAGGAACAAAAACCCAGAGCTTCCAAACTTCCAAATCAGTACTCTGTCCACTCTATCATGGTTGCCTCACCATGGAGTCCCAGCAGGAGCTGCAGCCCCAAGGACTGAATCCTTTCTCTATTATCACTTTCACATGGGACTTTGGGGCTTTATACTTCTCTACAACACAGCCCACAAGTGGCCATCCAGTCTTTGCCTGAAGGCTGCCAGGCCAGGGGAAGCTGCCACCTCCCAAGGCAGCCCATTCCACTTTGGGACAGCTCTCTCCCGCTTAGTGAGAGTTTCCTTACAGGGAGCTGAAATCTTCTCTGTCATTTCTACGTATTGCTCCTGTTTGCCCTCCTGGGCCAAGCAGAGCAAGGCTAATCCCTTGCACTCATGACAGCCCTTTGGACCTTCTTAATAGCTCTTGTGTCCCCCCTGAGCCTTCTCTTCTCCAGGATAAACATTCTCAGTTCCTTAAAGGGATGCCATGATCTCAAGGCCAGAGCCTGCTCATTGTCCTCTGGACGCTCTCTAGCTTATCAATGCCCTTATGAAAATGAAGCACCCAGCAGTGAACACAAGGATCTCTGTTAAGCCAGAGGGAGAGGTAAGCAGGGCTATCACTTTCTGAGTCCTGGACATGATGCCTCTTTCTGGAGCTTAAGATGGGAAAAGCTTTGCTCGCTCAGAGTACAAACAAGTGAACTATTATCTACACTTACATTCTTATGAAGTTGAGTTTTTGAACCCAAGCATAATACTTAATGGGTTTTTTTCCATTTTATGAGATTAGGCACAGTTTTTCTACCCTGGCAAGATTTTTCCACATTGTGACTGTCTTTCATCGTATAAGTGTGCTTTCACTCTCTCTCTCTCTCTCTCTCTCTCTCTCTCTCTCTCTCTCTCTCTCTCTCTCTCCCCTCTCTGTCTGAACTTTGTACCATCTGTACATTTCATAAACATGCTGTATATCCATTTTTTCTAAGTCACTGATTAAAAACAAGAGAGTAAACAGCACAGAACTCAAGATAGGTGAGTAAGCACCCTCTACTTCTGGTCCTTAAAGGCTACTACTGCCTATCTGAAAAACTTTCAAGTAAGAATATTGAGGTGTGAGGGACCAAAGAAGCATTAGTCTTGGCCTCACTTTTCTTCTTCTATAAAATGAGGAGAATGACTTAAACAAACACCCAGGATAGGGGCTCACTAAAGGAAGGTCAGAGGAATGGCTGTCTCCATTTCCTCTGGAACTCACCACCATGTCTGGATCTCACTTTCTGGTGAGTTCATTGTGGAGACAATGCTGAAGTGGGTGATTATCAAATCAGGAGGAGGGCTAGAGAAACACTAATGTGCCTTCCAGCTCGAACACTCTCCAAGTTCTAAGAGGCTCCCAATTACATGGGCCTCATTCAGTTTATCCTGCCATTGGCTTAGAGGAAGCTGGGCAGCTGGAATTAGAATGAGATCCCACTGAACTAACCCAGAGACATGGGAGAAGTGTGGTTGAGGGTAGGGGAAAGCAGTTCTAAGCTCTCTCTGGAAGCTCTAACAGAACACGAAGCAGCATTATAATTTCAAGGCACAAAGACCTGGTGAGTTCTCAACAGTCTTTTTCTTAAGTCTCATGCACTTGAGAAAATTGGACAGTTATAGGACAATTATTTTTTATGGGAAGCGTCTCTGTGAACTCTCTAGCTCACTGCAATGCTGAAGTTAAGCCTTGTGAATTTCTGTAATGGGAATCTCTGGTAGGGATCTATAATACCATGAAGGTGTCAGGAAATTTGTTCTAACAGTATCTAATAGGTCTCAAGAGTCCACCTCTGGGAAGTCTGGGGCAGAAGAGCAATCATTGGGTCAAGAGTCAGCTCCAGGCTAGGTTTCAGATGGAGCTCTGCTGGTTATTAGCTAGGTGAGAGTAAGGCTAAGTCATTTAACCTTTCCGGATCTCAGGGTCTTCATTTTTAAAACGAGAGGATCAGATTAGATTCTTTCTCTCTCTCTCTCTCATTCTGACACATTGAGGATTCTGGCAAATTTTGTTCCTCATGAAATTCATAGCTTTGAGAACAGTTCTATATGTCTCCACACCCCTTCATGTGAAAACATCTGGATCAAGTGAGATCATGTGTAGAAAGTACTTTATGAACCTTAAAGTACTGTATCAATGCCAGCAGAAATTATTAAAGGTTATCTAGTTCCCAGTGATTGCAACCTTCTTTTGACCTCCTAAATCAGGTTTTAATCTTTTTGTGTGATTCATGAATCCCTCTGGTTGCTATGACCCCTTTGGCTGTGATAGTGACCCCTCTCAGAATAATGGTTTTAAATGCATAAAATCAGATATATGGGATTGCAAAGGAAATCAAAGGTTAGTGAACCTGCTGAAATCTGCCCATGGACAATTTAGGTATTATGGATCCCAGGTCAAGAACTCCTGTCCTAAAGCATTTGTGGTCCCTACCATTCACTTTCCTCCATAAAGCTCACCATTTGATGCCTCATGGTGGCCTTGAGTTCTTGCAGTTTGTGCCAGGGAACCCAAGCTATGACTGGTCCCACCAAGTGGGATGGGCTTGGTGATGAACTCTCTATCTGTTTCCCAAAGACCCACCTGGATAAGGACGGAGAGGCATACACACACACACACACACACACATACACACACATATATATATATGTATATAGTAAATTTACATATATATGTAAATGAACTCATACACAGAATATCAATCACCTATTTTTCCAGATAAGAAGGTTGCTGTTACTTCACAGGGGAAAATAAGACATTCCAGTTTCATTATGTCTGTTTTTTTTCAAACCGCTAAAAACGCTGCCACCCCAATTTCACAGGAACATTTCTATCACTTACAATTGGCTGGAGCTGAGCGCCCGGGAGCATGAATTGCATCTGCTGCGCAAACATGGCAGCCGCAGTCTTTTGCTGTATCAGGTTGTTGCGCCCGTTAATTTCCAGCTGGGTCTTTAGGTGGGGAGGAGGGTGAAGATACTTGCAGTTCTCTCGAGTGCAGCGGCCCTGAAAACAAAAAGACCAAGCTTGTAGACAGTGGCATTTTGGACCCAGGGGGCAAGTGGTTTATATGTATGAAGCTTATATACACAAAAAAAAAAATAAGAAAAATCTTAAAGCTAGAACCTCAGCTTACTAAGACCCAATAAGGATTTCCCATAGCTTTTGTAAGCTGAAAGCATAAAATGATTATTTCAATTAAGTAAAACTCAAAGGTTGAGGTTACATATGCAATTAGTCCAGATGTGTGAATCCGTAGTATGAATGTAGTATGTGTGCCAATGCACAAATATACTTTTGCATGAAAACATCAGTCATGCCCAGCACTTCAAGCCAAATCCACCAGTTTTACCTCAAAAAATCAGGTGAACTGAAGCCAAGGTATATCTGGGGGCCTTCATTCGTTGAAGGATCTGAATGCCATGAGACAGTGGACAAAGCCCTTTCCCTGAGATGCTCTGATGTGACAGGAGAATTGGTTTCAACCTTTAAGATGTTTGGTGGGTTCACAAGATCATGGAACAAGATCTGGAAAGGACTTTAGAGTCATCTAGTCCACTCCCCCTCATCTGACAGATGGAGAGGGTAGGCCCGAGGAGGGCAGTGACTTGACTTGCCCAAGTTCATATGGGTAGTAACAGAGGTGAAATTTGAACTTAGGCCCTATTACTTCAAATCCTGTTCTTTTCCCATTTTACCAAGATTTTTTATTCCAAAACTGCACTGTTCCCCCTTCCTCCCCCCCACATTGAGAGGAATTTTCCAGACAAAAGGGACTCCTACTGAAATTGACCATGTTCAGAACAGCTCCTTCTATATGGAAATATGTGCTGCAGTATAAAGGTTCCAGCACGACCATTTATCACATTTCGTAAAATCAGTATTACTGAAAAGTCACCATCTGATTTTCTGGAGGAAACTGAACCTCATTTCAAATCCATTAGGAAAGCACAGGGTAAAGCCTCTGGCAAAAGAATGTGAGGTACAGTATACTAATTGATTAGTCTGCAACATCGGTTTTCCACAACCTGTGTTTGTTCAAAGCAGGATACACCTGTACTTGCCTCCTCTAGGGCACTGGCCCATTCCTCTAGCCTTCACAGGGGTATGTTGGGCCCTGCTGGAACCTTGCAGGCCTGCCAAGCCCAGTGGGACAATTTGCAGAAATCCCACCGCTGGGGTTCAATATGAGGGATGAAGCAGGGCCGTGGGGTCGTGCTCCTCCACGTGTGTTTGCTCTCCATGGATCTTGAGATGCTTATCAAGAGAGCAATGCCAAGGTCTGTTTGGGATTGTACTGAAGAACACTACATGATCCAGGGATTTGGGTCTTCTGAGAGTATTTTGATGTTCTGATTAAAGATACATGTAAATACTGAGGCTCAACTCTGGTTCAAACTGGCTTACGAGGGTTTGTTTCAATATTTTTTTCTTCTTTTTTTTAAACTTGGGTTCCCTTTGTAGGGAAAGTATTCCTGCTTAGGTTTAGTTCTGTTTAATTCCAGTTTCTAATACTTACAAAGTCAGGGTCAATGCATGCTTTCCAAGGTCCGATGTGCTAGGTCAGGTTAGGGCTTTACACACATTTTTCCATTGGAACTTCGCAATCTTACTATCCCCAATTTACAGAGCAGGAAAGTGAGGCTCTATCCACTGCCCCAAACTGCCTTTCAGTCACTCCTAGTGAGTTGCCTAACACATATAGAAAATTAAGTAGAAGAGGAGGAAGGTCTAAATAATGAGAACTGACATTATAAAATGTTTTCCAAGTACTTTGCAAACACTGGTTTATTTGAGCTTCACAATAACCTTTAGGTAGGTGCTACGGATATTATTATCATTTCCATTTTACAGATGAGGAAAGCCAGGCTCAGAGAGAGGTTAAACCACTTGCCCAGGGTCACGGAGTTAATAAATACCAGAGGCAGGCTTTGAACTTAGGTCTTCCTGACTCTAAGACCAGAATCTTATCCATTAGGCCCTGCAGCCTACTTATTGAATAACTGGCTTAAGCTGGTAGACCTTGTGGCACAGTTAGAGCCCTGGGTTCGAGTCCTAGCTCTACTGCTAGCTACTTAGGTAGCCTGGGATAAGTCACTTTCCTTTTTCGGCCTGTTTCTTCCTCTGTAAAAAGGGGATGTTGGACTAGACAATCTTAAAGTTTGCTTCTAGTTCTACCATTTGATGGTCCTAAATCAAGTGACCACCTTGAGAGGGCTTCTGGCCAGATGCACCACAGGGGAGAGAGAGGAACAGCCCCACTCTGAGGCTCTCACCTGTCTTCTAGTACCCACACTAAACCTTTGGAGGCAAATCCTCCTTTTATCTCAGCAGCTAGATGAGAATGATCAGTTATTCTTTACAATAAAAAAAGGCATGGAACATTTGAGTAGGAAGGGGCCTGCTCCAGCTCCTTCATCTTGTGGCTGAGACAACAGGGGCCAAGAGAGGAGAGAGAGACTTACTCACTGTTAGGCAGTTGGCCTATAGCAAAGCTGGGCCCTGAACTTGGGTCTTTGCAGCACCAGCCTCTGGCTCATTTCTGGCCACCTACCTGCCTCCTGTGAAGGGCTTCTTGTGCTAACTAACCCAGCATGTGGTAGAGAAGGCTGGCTGCCAAGGCCCAAAGCTGGACCTCCAAACCAGGCCTTTATAGGACCAGCCCAGGGCCCACATCGCCTTGGAGAATGCACCTGTGCTGGGGTCTGTCCTGTTAAATCATCTCCCTTGGCATGGCATACGGTCATTATTGAAACCATTAATAACATTTCACTAAAAACAAAGTCCATCCTTCCAAGATTTTTTTTTCTAACTCTCCGCACAGTATTAAAGCAGCTGAGATTAAATATGAGATCATTTGGGCAGAACTGGTTCCATTGTTTTTATAAAACCCGAGCCCAGTTCTAAGCAGTGAGGAGAATGAAAGGGCAATCCATCGTTTTCCAAGGAGATCACTCTTTGTTCCTCCCATAACCAGTTTGGAGAGACAACTGAAGAAACTGATAAAGCCAAGGAATAACTCCTTGCTCTGACATGTGTCTGAGCAATCTGGCCAGAAGGAGCTTCTTACCCGTAGGAGCTGCCTAATTGGTCTCCTTGCTTCTGGTCTTTCCTCTTTCCAAGTCATTCTCCACAAAGCTGTCAAAATTAGCTGCCTAACCCACCTGTGCCACTCCCCAGCTCAAGAAACTTCAATGGCTCTCCACTGCCTCGAGGATAAACTACAAACTCTTTTGTTTGGCATTTAAAGTCAGTCCCAATCTAGCTCCAATTTCTCTTTCTGTACTCATTTCATTTCATATTATTCCCATTCCTACACTCTTCATTCCAACAAAACTAACTCCCTTTCTATCTCATAAACTGAACCATCAATCTCATGCCTTGGTTCCTTTGGAATGCACTCCTTCCTCACCTCTGCTCCTTGGGTTCCTCTGATAGGTCCCCTAGAGAAACTACAAACTCCATCCAGGTTCCTCCATACAAGTAGCGCTGGAGGCAAGAACCAAAGAGGCCCAGGTAGGCCTATTGTGTGCAAGGCATGGTGGGATGGGGAGGAGTTGCAGAAACAGATGAATAAGACACAGTTATCACTGTCAAAGAGCCTATGGGGTTGTAGTATGGGGAAGTAAGATGTGTATGCAAATAGCTATAATTTAAAAGTATAACTTAGAATATAAGGTTATTTTTTTTTTTAGCTATTTTGGGGACAAAGGTGGATAGAAGAGAAGACAGAACTCCTGCTAATATGGGCATATGACTAGACTAACCTTATTCACTTTTTCCTGACAGGGTAACTAGCTTGATAGATCAAACGAATTCTATAGATACAGCCTCCTTAGATTTCAGCAAAGCATTTGGGACAAAATCCTTCCCAGTATCCCTGTAGCTTAAGGTACAGGGATGTGAGCTAGACAATAGTACATTTAGGAGGATTTAAAACTGGTGGAGTGACAGGACCCTAAGAATTGTCATAAATGGCCCATTGCCAGCACTGAAGGCGGTTTGTAGTGGAGTGCCTTAGGGATCTGTTCTCTGATCTGTGCTGTTATCATTTTCACCAGTGACTTGAATGAAGGCATCATGGCATGCTGATCAAATGTATAGAAGCCAAAATCTTGGAAGGGTAACTGATGTATTGGTTGGCAATGTGAGGATCCCAAAGTACCTCAGTAGGCTATACTGGCCCAATCTGATGAGATGACACTTAATTGGGACAAATGTAGAGTTCTACCTGGGTTCAGAAAATCAACTTCTCAAATGTAGGATGAGGCATGGCTGCACAAAAGTTTCCATGAAAAAGATCTGGAGGTCTTAGTGAACCACCAGCTCAATATGAGTCAACACAGTGATGTACAAGTCAAAAAGGCAAATGAATGATATACGAGGTTGCATTATGAAAGGCCCGGGGTTGAGAATAAATGGGAGAATAAGTGCGCTACATTCTGCCCTGGTCTGGCCAGATCCTGGGTAATGGGTTCAGTTCTGAGCACCAAATTTTAGGAAAGACAGAGACAAGTTGATGCGTATCCAGAAGAGAGTGACCAGGATTGTAAGAGGGCTGGAGAGCACAGGATCATTGGATAGAAATGGGGATGGTTAGTCCAAATAGGAGAAGACTTAGAGGGGACATAATGGTGTCTTCAAGTGTTTGAGGGGCTACTGGGTAGAAGAGGCATCTGACTTGCCCTTCTTGTCCCCAGAGGGCAGACCTAGGAGCAAAGGGGTGGCTGTTTTAAAAAGGCATATTTAGGCTGGATGTAAGAAATCAGACTGTGGGCACACCAAAGATGTGTAACAGACATTAACCACCCAGGCCACAAAACTGGAAGAAATGTCAATTAGGAAAAGTCTGATCATAAAAGCTGGCAGGCAGGTCACGTGCTAAGGACCCGGGACAATAGAGAGCTACCCCAAGAACCCCACTGTTTCATGCAAAATGCCCCGAAGCCTGAAAGGCAAGGCCTAAGGCAAGTTTGGATCAATCTTCGGGATAAGATCCATGGGAG